TCTTTCAGACAAGGCACAATATGGAAGATTTCATTAAAATATACAATATCCTGAAAGGAGATAATTACAAACTCGTCAAACTATCTTGCAGAACAAATATCAGGAAATACTTCTTCACACAGATGGTGAGACCTGGAATGGTCTACCAGCCCAAGCTGTAGAATCATGAACAGTACTGGGCTTCAAATAACCCTCTACAAAATTAACATGAACACTGGAGGGATCCTACACAGGCCACTGGCCTCCTTCCCTTGTCATAGCTACTTCTTGTGGGTGGTCATTAGGTAAATAAGTAAGCGATTTTTCCAATTTAGCATAATATATTTGTTTTAGTTTCATTGTGTATTTTTAAAATTGTTGTTATTATAACTGCATTTAACTTCACTACACTTTTCAACTAGTCTCCAGTCATGATTTGAATTTGTCTTTTGATTTAATAGTTTCATTTTTTTAATATTATAACAGTCATGTGTCTTGTTTTATCTTATCATTGTTGATTCTTTTCTATAGATTGCACTGATGATGGCTACTGTGATAATTGAAAGTTAATTAATAAAGAAGAATAAGTGTCAAGATGTTCATTGTGGTGCTTGTCCAGTCTTTGAACCTTACAAACTAGGCACTTGTTTGTTTGTAATATTACCATACAAATAATTACATTATAAACATAATATGGTACTAGATATAAAAGTAGTAACCTTAAACAGGAAGTCAATCCTGTCGATGGGTATGGCATGTTTCCTGGCATAGTTCTGACGTATGCCCGTGAGGAAGGAGTAGGGGAAGAACAGCCCAGAAAACCAGAATACGTCGGGGATTTTCTCGTCCGCCCACCGCTGGAAGAACTTTAGCCTGAAGGAATGCATAATAAGGTAGTAAGACAACCAAGCACAGCATAGGCCTCTTGAGTGAGTTCTTTATCATATTATTATATCAGTCTACTCCAAATTTATGCTTAGTAGACCTGAATCCCATATAATGCCAACTATATGAAACATTATTCTAACACTTTTATGAGCTTCACATATACTTTGTCAAGCATCTTTAAGTTAGCTTGAAAAGTATACAGTGGTCCCTCGGTTAACGAGCGCCTCGGTTAACGAGATTTCGGTTAACGAGTTACCTTCCATAAGATTCTTAACTTCGGTTAACGAGCAATCCCTCGATTAACGAGTATCTTACGAGCCGACCTCCACATGTTTTAGCTTGCATTTGGCGGTCCACCAGCTGTAGTATTAGTCCGCCAATACAGTAATCGGTTCTAGGGCTCAAATTCCTTACCCTTTTAGTAAATATCAAGAAGTTTATACTATTCAATAATTTTAAAAGTTTAATATTAATTTTTTTTAGTTATTTAAACAATTATTGAACATAATTGAAGGTAGGGTCACTAGTTTGTGGCACGCCATCCAGCCTGCCAACACAGCACAGGCGTCAGTCTGTGTCTTTTCAGTGGAGGTAACATCTTGCTTGAGAGACTTCAACTAAATGCTTTTTTTCTGTGTTTACAGGCAAATTGTTGGTCATTTTGAAATTTATTTTACATATTGACAATATATGATGCAGTGCAGTGTTGATTTAAAGAAAATAATCTTGAATTACACTAAGAGAACTAAAATTTTATGGGTGAAATGGCGCCATGGGGTGACTTCTCTTCCACCCCAATTCCTTCTCTTCTCCCTTCTCCTCCACCCCCATTCTAATTCCCATCATCATCATCATCATCATCATCATCCACGAGCCTTCTACATACACACCTCAAAGTAAGTGTACTTTTCTACCTTTTTTGTTGAATTTAGGTAATTTTCGGTGAGCTGGAACCAATTACCCAAAAACCCATTGAAACAATGGTTTCGGTTAACGAGCAACCTTCTAGAACGGATTGTGCTCGTTAACCGAGGGACCACTGTACAGTAATACCCTGGTTTACGCAGTTCTCGTTTACGCTTTTCCACATTTACGTGGTACCCCGCCAGAACCGGAATGCGGCGCGGGCAGGGTGCGCACAAGGTCGCCCAGTCATCAAAACATTACCGAGTTCTTCACCCGCCACCCACCACAGCCGGCCCAAGTCAGTGATAGTGAGGATATGGACTTTGAGGGGTTTGACAAAGAGGCCCTGCAAGCCTCTGTGGTGGATAGTGATATAATTGATACAAGTGATACAGGTGAGGGCCAATAATCTGCCCTCTGCCTCGGAACCAACCCCCCATCCCCGTGTGCCCAGCCATCTTTTCTACTAATGTAAGTGTTAAAAACCTAATATTATTGATATTTCTCTTAATTGTGTGCATACCATCATAAAATTAAGATGTTATTTTTACTACAACGTAGGTATTGTGTCTGAAAAAGTGTAGTTTGGGAGTCGGCCCAGTCTCTATTTCAATTAATCCCATATGTTCTGTTATTCCATTTACGCGTTTCTCGTTTTACGTGCTACTCCGCGGGTTCAATTGACCGCGTAAATCGGGGTATTACTGTATTTAAAAGTATCTACAATTTATGTCAGTAAATTGTACCTGTAGTCTGATACTGTACAAGTATCCCTCATTTAAAAGTGTGTGTGTGTGTGTGTGTGCACACAGGGTGGTGTAATGCATCTAGTGTGACAGCATTATATTAGTGTTAAGGTGCAAGCACTGTTTGCTACCTCTCGCTTTCAGCTGCTGCCGCTGGCTACCTCTCATGACGAACAAAGAAGCAACCTTCTGTAAGTCTTCCCTTACCAGTACACAGCCTCTTCACCATCAAAACTCCTGCTGTGCCTCCTCGTGGCAACACATGATAACTGGGTGCCTCGTGGGGCCAGGCTAGACCAGCAGGGGATCTCGGAGCAGCAGTGGGCCCCAGAGGGACAGCACATAGACCCACAGGCATGTGGACATGTCCTGGTGCCTACTAACCACTGCCTTGCAGATTAACCTTGGTAGGTATAAGACTACGGGTGTAAACCCTAAGCGAAAAATCTGAAGCGGAGACATGCTTACAGAACTCCAGTAAGACCCCAATGGCAGTGTAGGTGGAAGAGATAACCAACAAGGGAACCCAATGACTACACCAGCAGATGAAGGCAATGCAAAATGGACAGGCTAATAAGGCAAAACCCAACAAACTGGGCTATTGGCAGTCCATTGCAACTCTCCTCCCCATTCGTTGCAACTACCTGCACCACTGGACCAGGACAAGGGAGAGCCATGGTGTGTGGTTGCAGTCTGTGCTCTTGCCTCACCACATAAATCAACTCATGCACAGCCATCACTTACTACTACTCATCATACTCGATTCTGAGAGACAGCAAAGTAGGTGGGGTTGCATTCCTGAAAAATCTAACATTAAAAAAAAATTATTACTAAATGAGGATAACATCGAAGCATGGAGGACAAGCAACAGGTTTAAATGTCATGGCAGTAAACAGCGAGGACTGAACTCCCTAATAATAATAAATGAGTTCATTACGAATAGTTTCAAAGTTAAACGACGGATTTATTAACACAAAAATTCAAATTGCATACATGTACTGTACTACAACATCTTTTAAGATAAACAATAAAGTTGATAAATAGCATATTATAAAACAAAAGCACATATTTTATGTAAAAAAAAACCCAGCTCCTTCCACACTCAAACCAGCTGAGCACTCACTCAGTTGACTTAGAGATGTGTGCGTGCCTGCTGCACTGTGTGTATGCTGTGACATCACTGCCCACACATACAAACCCATGCTCTTCATTTTTCTTATTACGTACATAATTTTATATGATATTTTCTTTATTTCTAAGTCACACTAGAGTATTGTAATGATTTTTTCACAACTAATATAGTTTCGATTACATGTAACAATGGAAACATGATATCTCACAGGCCACCTCATCTCCAGCTTTTCCCACTTTCACAGCAAGTTGAGCTAAACCGAATTTTGATTGTCCTCAACTACCATGAGAGAATGGAGCGCCTGAACTTGCCTAGCTTATACAGGTTATACCTCTCTAGTCCGGCAACCTCGGGATCTGACTGGTGCTGGACCATGGAAATTCACCCTTTTCCTGCATAGATAGTGACTTGTGCTTATGCTTGGAAGCACTAGCACCACTTTCTCTGCATCATGGTCTCTTTGAAGACATATTGAAGGGTTAAATGTCGTATAGTAGCTTCTCAAATTTCGCGAGTTTTTAATTCTTAACGTATTTTATTAGAACACACAAAAAAATAAATAAATAAAAATTTTGACGGCGGAAACTTGAATTTCGACGGGTTTGAACGGCCCGCCAACGTGCAGACGACGTGCATAATCGTGTAAACAGCGTCATTCCTCTTATGTACAAAAGATTCATTATTGTTCATGACTGAATGTCTTTTTTATTGAATTAATGTTACGTGTGCAAATTGAGCAATACAATTCATTAATAATATGTAGAATATTAAAACACATGAGGAAATGACACAGCATTGTTTTTGTTGATTACAAAACCAGTGACTGACTGGTTCTACATATAAAACTGAAGAAAATAAGACTTTGGTTGTACCTGTAGTAAAATTAATATGGTTGTTTTAAGTAATGTTATTTAATGTTAATAAATGGAACAATAGAAGTAGCTAACGATAATGGTAAAGAAAAAAGAGAGATCGCGTATGTAGGTGCGCATGCGCACACGTGAAAACATATCGTCATTACTTTACATAAGAATATGAAAGCAACACTTATTTACTGTTCATATATATTTTAATTAATGTTTCTGAATTTGCTTTTATTGAATTAATGTTTCTGTGTGCAAAATTAACAATTCAATTTGTTAATAATACGTGGAATATTAGAGGAGACGAGACGGCTGCCGGCATTGTTTATGTTACAGCTTACAAAACCAGTGACTGATTGGTTCTACATATAAAACTGAAGAAAATAAGACCCTGAGTTTAGCTGTAGTAAAATGAATGTAAAAAAATTAATATGGTTGTTTGAAGTACCTGTAATGTTATTTAATGTTAATAAATGGAACTATATAAGTAGCTAACCATTAATGGTAAAAAAAAAAGTGAGACTGCGCGCATGTAAGTGCGCACATGTGAAAACATATCTCATTACTCTACATAAGAATATGAAAGCAACACTTATTTACTGCTCATATATATTGAAGGGTTAAATGTTGTCCTCTGTATAGACAAGCAGACAGAGAGAGAGAGCAGCCAGATGTAAACAAACCTTAATTTCCCGTGGCTTTGTTTGTTTTTTTTAAGGAGATTAGCCCACCTGTGCATAAGTCACTGACCCACATTGGGGCCTGAGGGGCAAAAATTTAATACTCCTGTAATAATAATAATTCAGATAAAAAAGAAAAAGAAAAAAAAAAAAGAAAGCTGCCTATCTACCTATTGGACAAACTAAAATCGTTCCGGACCACGGGAGTTTCTGGACCACAGAATGCCGGACTAGAGAGGTACAACCTGTACTACAGACGGGTAAGGGGTGACCTAATTGAGGTGTAGTATAAGCATCTCAAGGGGTACTACTCAGTCGAGTGTTCTTACTTGGAGCTGGCAGACGCTCGCCTAACAAGGGGTCACAGCTCAAGACTGAAGAAGCCGCAAGTCCAGAAAACTGTGAGGGCAAACTTTTTCGGAGTGAGAGTTGTGAACTCTTGGAACATTCTACCAGATCACACTCACTGCTGCAATACCTAGCATCTGTGTGCACTTTTTCAAGTAACACTGTGTTCTTGCATACGTGAGAAAGTCTCTGGGCATATTTGTTAGCCTGTGATGTGGGCAGCAAACTTTGGAAATGTTGGGGAGGGACTGGATGGATGTGTATGGGTGTAGTGGTGGTAGGGTTAGTAAACAAAGCATTTTGGAGGGACAGAGGTTGCTGATACAGGCTAATGTGTCTTGAGAGGTTACCATGTGCCATATTTTAAATATATTAATCCTTCTGGACCATTTCAGATGCTGTGGGAAATTTAAAAAGTCAAATTCATTGATCTACGTAATGGACTGCTCAGAGATGGTCACTCACGTACATGGATCTAGGAATATGACAAGTAAAGGGTTAACTAAAAAACTTTTGTTTCACAACACCTGAGCAGACTCATGCACATATTACAGGTAGATGAACATATACTGTAGAAGGAACAGTAGTCTTCATAATATAATGATGACTAAGTCTACCATACAGTAATTCTATATGTTGAAATGGTTCTACATGCAATGTCTTTTATTTCACACATCTTTCTCGGTTCACACATTACCTCTCTGAGTTCCTTCCTCTTTTCCTCTAGCTTTTCATTCTGGGGGGCCAGTTCATGGTTGGCAGCCTCCAAAGCTTGTTTCTTGGGGGCGACAATCTTTATGACTTGATCATAGACAACCATGGCCCTCACCCATCGGCAGAGGCCCTCACAAGCCATTGATACCATACGTATCTTCTTTGGGTCAAAATCCGGGTGAGAGTAGAACCTGGCAGGAAGTAGAAAGTCCCTAAGTCATCCACTTCAGTACTCACACAGTTTTATGTGTCACTCAAGTCTTCTTTAAAGATAAAAGAGGGACTTTATTTTTTGTGATTTCTTGTGAAACAATAGTATGTATTTACCTGAGCATAAGATACATATGCATGAATAAGTAAATTAATGGATAAGTACATTTTAAAATGTCTCAACATTTATTTCCTTTACTTTTTGTGAGTTTATAATAGGTTTCAGGGTTAAAGTGGAAGAACACTCATTTCTAAATGTGACAGTAGGTAGTGTGACTTACACAGTTATTACTGTGTGTGTCATTCTCAAGGCGTCCATATTCAACAGCACTGTTCCAGCAACCAAGATTTTCAACTGTTATTTTACATTTTCATTGGGTAAAGGAAAATATACTGGTATAGCAAGAAAATATTCCAAGATGTAATCCGTCCTGAATAACCGTGCACACTCTTGAGTGCAAGCATCAGGTAGCTACATGTTAGTACAGTACTGAGACAGTAGTAGTAGTAATGTTGATAATTTTTTACAGCATTTTATTTGTTCAATAGTATGAGTTTATTCATATCGGTCTGTCTGTCTCGACACCACTCTGATAGCCTCTGTCTTGGTCATACTTAATGGCAAAGATGAATTACCTAATGAATACCATATCACGGAAATAATGTTTGAACTTACTCGTTGCGGACGTGAGTGATAATCTTTGTGGGAATGTTTTCTTTGTCATAGTGCAGCAGGTTCTGGAGGAACTTCATATCCCCCAACAGCTTCTGAGATGGTGCCCAATAGTCCTCAATCATTTTTCCTGAGCCATTAGGGTCTGGCTTCCTCTCTGGCTTGAGGTCCAGCATTACACACACAGCTTCCATTACCTGACATAAAGCATAATATTGAACTGTATAGTGCAGCATTGTTATTTTGGGTATTTTTACAGCTCTAGTAAAACATGAACACAAACATTGCATTAGAGAACTGGGTGATGAGAAACTTTACTGACCTGGGTGATGAAAAACATGAGATGGATGATGAGAAACACTGCATTACTGAGCTGGGTTAAGTTGTGTTAGGTCAGGTCATCTTAAGTTAGACTATGCTATCTTAAGTTACGTTATGCTAGGTTTGGTTAAAGTTATGTTAGGTTAGGTTAGGATAAAAATTACACAGAAGTCTATGAAGATGACACATGGCTTCACTCTGCCTTGTTGATGGTATTTCTCATCACCCACTAGAATTGAAGTAGTGTTTCTTATCACCCACTAGAAATATGTTTCTCATCACACACTAGAATTGATGTTATGTTTCTCATAACCCACTAGAATTGAGGCGCTCAGCATTAGAGGGGGGTGAAGTGACACTCTGGCCAAAATGCGTTTTTTGATGGATATCACTATTTTCACCCGTTGGATGTAACGCTCTAGCTAGAATAGAAATATGGTAGAAAGTCCTTCAAAATTAGGCGTGATTTTGCCTCAGGCCTGGAGCTACGTATCTGGCTGTGCGCTCAGTCAAAGAAGGTGGCAACTTCCCGTTCAGAACGAGAGGAGCGCGAGCCAATGACAGCGCCATTCACAATGGATTTCCCCTTGCTATGTCACAGCTCCTCGGCCAATCCGCGCGCCCAGATGCTGCCTCCTTGTTAGTTTTGGTGCATTGTATAGCATAAGGAGGTTCAGTGTACTTTCTATGGCTATTTTTGATAACTTTTCGGCGTAACAATGATGTTGTTCATCCACGGGTGTGTAAAATGCTGTGCAATATCTGCCCGATATTGGAGCAAGAGTTGAGTGAAGCCAGGCCTTCTGGTATAGGTTCAGGAGCACATTATTCCTGAACGTGTGTTTAGTGATGACAGTGCTCATGTGGACATCCTAGGAATGCTTGGTGATAGTGATAGTGATTTTGGTATACAGGTAGTTCTGCTATAACGCGATAGTAGTGTTCTTGTAAAACATCGTGTTATAGAAATTCGTGTAATAGAAATAACAGGGCTTATGGAGAACTTTTACTTTTTACTTTTATCCTCTTCGCCACTAGATATCTGAACGACCTTCTTATAAGACCCAATAATTTATTTGCCTGATTTACCTTCTTCTCACAATGGCCCGAGAACTTCAGCTCATTGTCAACATACATACCTAGGTCCTTCTCACACACAGTCTCAACTAGTACATTTTCTTCATCCCGTTGGGACATATGATACGCCTCCTTACCGTTGGTACGCCCCAGGTGCATCCTCTTACACTTCGTGACATTGAATTTCAGCAGCCATTTCTTCAACCATTCTCGGAGCCCACAGAGGTCCTTCTGCAGCTCTTTACAGTCTGCTTGGTTCTTGCTTTCCTGAAATAACTTGGCGTCATCGGCAAACATTTGTATGTAGGAGTGTACAATGTCAGGCATGTCATTTATGAAACAAACAACAGCAGGCCCAGTACACTGCCCTGTGGTACCCCACTTGTGACAGGTACAGATGATGATTTCGTGCCATTAATCACCACACACTGCTTGCGGTCATGTAGAAGGTCATCTATCTACACTAGGACATTTCCCCGAATTCCGTACCCTTCCAGTTTGATTTTCAGCCTTTCGTGGGGTACACTGTCGAAAGCCTTGGCAAAATCTAGGTAAATATTGTCGATATTACCACCCCGTTCTAGAATATGGGTCCAAATATCCAATACCTTGAGCAATTGTGTCAAGCAAGAGCGCCCCGGCATAAAACCGTGTTGGCAATCTTTTACAAGGTTGTTTCGTAGTAGACGTTCCATCGCTGCATCTCTGATAATACTCTCAAGTACTTTACATATTATGCTGGTCAGGCTCACCGGTCTATAGTTGTTCGTGGAGTGCCTATCGCCCTTCTTGAAGATAGGACTCACATAAGCCACTTTCCATTCACTGGGGACCATTTGTTCATCCAGGCATTTACAAAACAGAATCTTCAGGGGCTCTGCAAGCTCGCTGCACAGCTCCCTTAGCACTCTAGGATGCACCATGTCAGGTCCAGGACTCTTATGGACCTTTAGCCTGGACAGTTTATTTCTAATACCCTCTTCTGTGAACACAATGTGGGTCAGTGCTGTGTCGAACCGTCTGTCCTCAAACGCAGGAAGGTTAGTTGCATCCTCTCTTGTGAACACTGAGGAAAAGAAGCTGTTCAATGCCTCAGCTTTATCCTGGTCAGAATCTGCGTAACTACCATCCTCAAGCCTCAGGTCTGATACTCCTACTCGCGTTTTCAATTTCGACTTTGCATAGCGGTAAAACGCCTTTGGGTTTGACTTGACCTCGCGTGCAACCAGCCTTTGGAACTCCTTTTCAGCCCTCCTACACTCTATCTTTGCTTGGTTTCTGGCTCTTGCATACATCCTCCTGTCTTGCTCATCGCTTGACCCAACCCACGTCTTGAATTTCTGGGTTTTCTTCTTAATTTTGTCGACCGCCGCATGGTTCATGTGTAGGGATCCCCTCGTATTCCTAGAAGCACTGGGTTTGGTCTTGGGTATATATTTATCGATCAAATGGGTCATTTTACTAGTTATGATATTCAGCGTAGTGTCTGCGTTCTTGTACCTTAATAAGTTAGGCCAGTTGATACCCCTCATCTCTTCCCTCATCCCATTGTAATTTCCCTTGCAATATTTGCACCTTGGCCTGGCCTTATCTTGAACTAGGTAACAGTTAAATCTGAATGACAACACTGTATGGTGACTGGTGCCAACTGGGGCAAGGTGTTCCAGTTTGGCCACCATACCCTCCTCGTTTGTTATGATGAGGTCAAGTGGCTTGGGTGTTTGCTCCCCTCTGTAATGTGTTGGGTCTCTCACATGTTGGAACAGAAAATTATCTCTCGGAGTTTCTACAAAAGAGTAGCAGGATTATTCAAGTCATTCGGGGTGGACTCGTTTCTCCAGTCGATGTCGCCATAGTTAAAGTCCCCCATGATAAGGAGGTGGCTGGGGTTGAGCATCGCCGCATTGTTTATTAAGGTTCTTAAGTTCCTTTGATTTAGTGGGCTACAGTTCGGGGATCTGTAGATACACCCGACGATAAGTAAGTCCCCTCCCTTTAATTTAATTTTACACCACTTGGACTCTTCAAAGACATCCTCTCCCTGTACCCTCGCCTGGCTGGCTCTAAGGTCTTGCCTAGCGTAGATAACCACACCCCTCCTGCAGGATTCTTGAGTTAGGTTCGTAAATGAGTCATATCCAGCAATACTGAACTCACATTCCTCTGGGTCAATTCTCCTGTTCTTGTACAACAGTTCTACAACTCCTACAATATCTGGTTGGTGTACTCTTAGTAGTGTTTCAAACTCCTCCCTCTTATCAAGGAACGTGTCAGTATTAGTGTACATGACATTCAAGCCAGAATTTGTTCTCGCTAACGTCTCTGCTCTTAGTAATAAACCCACTCCCCCCACATTCTCAGAAGCTGCAGCATTTGCTAAGTACACTGTATTTTGCAGGGTGTGGTTAAAAATGTCATTGTTTACACGGCGCTCGTTCCCTCCTGTCCGGTAGGCTGAGCTGGTGCCGCCTCCCGGGTGGGGGGTTGAGTGGGTGGAGGGTGCACTGCTGCCCCCTGGCCCTGTGTCGGCACACTTGTTTCCACTACCCTCCCCCTGAATATAACCCATGTGCACCTGTCCCCGTTCCTCCTCGACTCCTCCCTCTTCTGCTTCAAGTCCAGCAGATTACTCCAAATCGAAAAAAAATTTCGTAGTTAGCCTAACACAAAGGATAGCACAGTCTAAATAAATGTTACATTCATATCTAATAATGAAATCATACAGTAAATGTTACACTTTACCTTGAAAAAATATGAATATAACTTGATGGGGGATAAGGGTGATGTTGAGGCTGAGGAGTCATGAAACATCAAGCTTTTCTTCAAGTGTTATAGCCTTTCTTTTACGATCACCACCGGAAATGCGATCACCAGAGTGCTTCCCAGAGATATTCTTCTTTTCCATAGTCACAAAATTGGAGAAACAGTAATCAGAATTCACTGAGGACACTTAAAAACTTCACAAGTGTTTCAAACAAAGTGTGGAGTAAACAGAGCGCGCGGGTCTAAAACGCTATGTATTTTGTTTTTCTCTTATTTAAAACTTTACATTTTACATATACTGTACAGGTATACTGTATACATAAATATTACATAAATTATTTCTGCAATTCTTCGCAAACAAAACACATAAATCAATTGAACATGTGATGTCGAACGTGAACTGTAAACACTGCATAACCCCGCGCCAAGCCACAATGTACAGTACACTTTAAGCGCTACTTATTTTGTTTTTCTCTCTTATTTAAAATTTTACAATTTACATATACTGTACAGGTATATCTTCACAAACAAAACACATAAATCAATTGAACAAGTGATGTCGAACGTGAACTGTAAACATTGAGCCAAGCCACAACACTGTACAGTACACTTTAACACTTTAAACGCTGCGTATTTAGTTTTTCTCTTTTATTTAAATTTTTACAATTTACATATATATATATATTTCATGTAAATCCACAATGAAAACGTGGATAAGATAAATCTTGATAAAATCACACGGGAAAATGGAAACAACGGAGTACTTTAGCTTTCGTCTTTATTCAAGACGAAAGACGAAAGCTAAGGTACTCCGTTGTTTCCATTTTCCCGTGTGATTTTATCAAGATATATATATATATATATATATATATATATATATATATATATATATATATATATATATATATATATATATATATATATATATATATATATATATATATATATATATATATATGTGTAAATTGTAATTTACATATTCATATTATGCTAGAGCGCCCACGAAACATGAGAAACGTTTGAGTCCCCCAGTAGAGATGTCGTTCTCTACCCACTTCAGGATGTCTTAGTCCTCCGTTTTCTTTTTGTGTACTCGCTCAGGGACTCAAGTATTTCTGTATATGACACAGGATGATAAGGGAATTTGAATTTATTTGTTTATTTATTTATATATAATATACTGTAATATATTAAATATACTGCAAGTATTTTCTTTAATTTATATACGTGTTTCGCGAAAAAGGGAGGCTACATTTATGGTGATCATTAAGGACCAAACTCCGAATCCATGACGTGACTTCTGTTCATTATTTATATCCTAAATTTACCACTGTAGGTAGTTTCAAGAATTAATGCAGTCATTTACTGAATATTCTTTGCAAAAAAATAAATTTTAAATGAATTATTTATAAGAGATAAGTATTATGATCAGTAAATATACAGATATGCATTACTGACCACCTCCGAACACAAGGACGGCTAAAAATAGCCACAGGCGGTCACAGTCAAGGTCACTTTCCCTTTCTTGTCACTGGCAAATGGGGGAGGGGGGGATGATAATAGCAGCTGTGTTTATTACGGTATGTTAGACTGGTTTATAATACATTTTTATTATTTTAATATACTGTACCGGTAATCTTCATTTTAATCCAGCTTACCAAACGTAAGTTTCAGTATAAAATAATTAGTGGTACTGTAGGACCTTGTGAGTGGTTTACTGTATACATAAATATTACATAAATTATTTCTGCAATTCTTCACAAACAAAACACATAAATCAATTGAATATGTGATGTCGAACGTAAACTGTAAACACTGTGTATGATGTAAAGAGAGCGCCGGTGTAAAACGCTATGTAATTTGATTTTCTCTTTTATGTAAAATTTTACAATTTACTTATAATATATAGGTATACTGTATACATAAATATTCCATACATTATTTCTGCAATTGTTCACAAACAAAACACATAACTCAATTGAACATGTGATGTCGAACGTGAACTGAAGCCACAACAACCGTTCGAGTGGAATCGCGTTAGAGCAAACGAGTTCCCGTTTTACAAATATCGTTCCTCAATTCATAAATCGCGTTCGAGCAAATTCGCGTTGTCAAAACACGCGTTATAGCAGAACTCACTGTACTCATCATACAAAAAGTGACTGCTATGCATCACAAGACCTTTTTGCAGACTATGTTCCGGTACAGAGTTACGTGACATGCACTGACAGCAGTAATGATGATGAAAGTGAAGATGAAAATGATGAAAGTGAGTCTAATGGTAACAGAGTGACACTAATGTATCACAACAAGAACATACAGACTGTGAGGAGGTAGAAATGGACAGTGACGAGGCATGCATTGACCTTGATAGTGATGAAAGTGTGCCTGAACCAACGAATGCTAATGAAAGTGAGCCCATAACTCAATCTTATAATGAAACTGAACTGTTGCCGGCATCAAAAATCAATGATTTAGTTCATGAAGAATCTGTGTGGCGATTTTTAGAGAGGGCAGAAAAAGACTTTGATCAGTACATGATTGATAATGAAGAGGCCATTTAAGTTAAACGCACTCCTCAGGATTTACGTAACTTCAAGTTACTACGATATTCAGGGATAATAAAACGAAGGAACTAAACAAAGTAAGATTGTAATACTATTATCAGAATACTCTCTTAACCATGGTAGGGGGTGGGATGAGTGTAGTGGTGTTTCCTCATTATTACACACTATTAAACTTAACAATATTATAAATTTTTGGCTAATAATAGGGATGGAAAGATAAATACTAATAGGCAAATGAGTTTTTATTATTATTTTGGGGGGGGGGGTAAAACGAGTGCTGTTTTTGGTTATCATTAACTTGTTTTACAGTATTAACCCACAAATATTAATAAAAAAAAATTGCAGAAAAATGCGATTATTGTTGGTTTGAAGATCAAACAACTCTACATCACGGGTTATTTTCATTCAACTCGCAATAAATTAATAACTATTCACTGTACTAATTTCCAGTTGTCACAGTTCGCTAGGAGAGGGATTAAGCTGCACGATAAAAAAAAGAACCCTCTAGCTTAAAAAAAAAGTTATGGTTGTTTGAACCTTGAAAACTTTCAACGTGTTTTTCTCAGCTTTTTGAATTTGGAGCTTCACCCCCTTCTAATGCAGAGTGCCTCAACTGATGTAGTATTTCTCAAAAAGTTTCACTAATGATTAGAAATACAAAAAACAACACAGGGACAAAACTTTTCATATATCTTTAGGAGGGTGTGAGGATCACAGGGTGTGTTAGGAGCACAAAGTGACTTAAGGTCAACAGCTAGAGGATATTAAGGCAAAGTGAAGGTTTGGGGACAGTAGAGTCAGAGTGGAAGATTAGGTAAAACAACAGTGGAGACTTAGGTAGAGTCAGAGTGGAGGTTAAGGTGAGCACTCTTCATAACCAATGTCATCATTTGGTAGGTTATACTCACCAGCTTGACTCCTGAGGGCGGGTTCTTCATGGCCTTGACGACGCGTATGTCATCTTGTTTGAGGGTGTTGAGGGCGTCTGTGGCAGCATTGAGAGCTGGTACTGCCTTGGCGAGCTCCTTTTCACAGTCGTCTTTTATGGCCTGTGCATCGGCAAACTTCTTATTGGCCACCGCCTCGTCTGCCGCCACCAACTGAGAACAAATTTGTTATCAACAACCAAGAAATGAGATATGTTATCACTTTCTTCTTTTTTTTTTTACCAAGAGAGGCAGGGTTAACATTAGAAGGGAACATAAAACACGAACACAAAAACAGCAATAACTAGCAAGGTGTTCATGATAGTAACAAGAACCTTGCCAATGACAATATTTTACATCAAGATCACAAAACACTGACTGAATTGTGACTACAACATTGGTTTCATTGTGGTATCTTCAACAACCTTCCATGTTTCACTTATGTTTGTTCTTCTGGGTTTGGGGAATTATACTTGTGTTTGTATCTATGAACAAAATATATAAAAGAATGGGAAGGGTAGCTTCGATGAAACCTGGCAGGCTAAAAGGTTATTTACCTCAGAGAAAATAAATAAATTTGGGCAAGTAAAGCTAAAGAATAGACTGGTGAACTCTAGTGAAACAGTCTTTTTTTTTTTATCCTCTTCACCACTGATTGGCTCGTTAGGTGCTTGGGCGATCGGTCACGTCTCTGTTACTTTTCCTTTTCTTTTATCCTCTTCACCAAATGATCGTCAAGGGTTGAGTGTAGGCAAAGGAAAAGGTAATTGAAAGCTGGGGTAAATATATTCAAAGCCATGGTCACAGTCACATTCCACTGTATGTGTCTGTTGTCTACACAACTCTTTATTAGAGTTAATGAAACTTGGGACTATAGGTTGCTGTTGATTAAGAGAAATCTAGTCTAATTTTGGAGAAAGCAGGTCAAGGTCACACTTACAGTTCACAGTCAAAGACAATATATTTCACATCTGTTAAATTTGCTAGGTAGATTGAATGATCAATAACCACATAAATTTTTTATGTATTTTAGTGCATGAAATATAAAGGGCTCTTTGAACTTGATTTCTTATATATTTTCTCTTAATTTAAAGAAGTTAGTTGTCTAAACCAACCAATCTATCTAATTTCATTAAAAACAATTAACTCGCTTCGACATATTTTCTACACAACCAAACTCACACATGTAGTGTAGTTATGGCACCTGGTTGAGTATTATCTGTAGTACATTTCTGCACTTCAACATACACACTGTACCATCTATTACAGAGTTAGAGATACATCTTTTTGTTATAGAATTATTAATAGTATTAACAGGTAAGTTTGACAAGTGAAAGATAACAGCTTCACACCTCTTGTTTCCTCTCCACTTGGATGGTGTCTTGTTCGATCTTGATCATAAGTGCCTCCGTGTTGGCAGAGGTCTCCACTAGGCAGGGCTGCAGCAGCTTTAGCTCTTCTTGCAGTTCAGTGATCAACAGCTTGGCCTCTTTCAGTTTCTCCAGACCTGTCACATACCTTCAGAGATGAAATGGTTAATGTTTTTGGCACTAAGAATGCATATTCATACATTTAAAATAACTTGGGCACAATATTATTGATTTTCACAAGTAAAATAAAAACAAAATCGAAGTTGGGTCGGGTAATTCTCATAGAATAAAATTCATCAATAGATGTACAGTATAACATTACTAAAGCTGGTGATGAGCTTCCTGAGCTTTACCTGTCCCGTAGTGTGAGGATCTCTGAGCGCTTCTTAAGGAGGAGCTGCTTGAAGGTGAACACGAGCTCCAGGTAGGAGGTGGATGTCACAATGTCACATAGTACCTCCGCCGCAGCTGCTCATAGAACCTGTAGGAGCACTCATCAAGGTCTCATGTATGTCTGGTTAATTAAGGTATTGGAGGGCTACCAACGTCTCATGTACAGTATGTCTTATGGTTTTAATGAGGTCTTGGAAGCCCACCAGGTTCTCATGGGTTAATTAATGTCTTGAACCCCTGGGCTTCAAGTCAAGTCATATGGTGTGCATCTTTAGAGCTTCAGGTCACCTCATATGAAATTTTGACATTTAGTGGGCCTATTTGAATATAAAATGCACTAAACTAACTCAGAATAATGGGATAAACTCTCCTGTCTCATGTGGTGACATGCGAACTTCACATGCTACCACCCACAATGCCTTAGTACCAATCGCGTCTCAAGATGCAGAGGTCACGTCGATCACACTTGCCCAATCCCAGCACCTCCATTCCCAGCTCCCAAGCATGCCAGATCAGTGGTCCTATGCCTGTGCAGTACTATTATTTTCTACATGATCATCATTGGCCAGTCAGAAGTTAAAACACAAACAATCAAACATGGATGTTTTATTGAAGAGAGTTTTCTGACTGTGGTAAACTGTATTTACATAATTAAAAACAAATTTCTAGTATAAAGAGACAGACATCAGTCTATAGATTGCTCAGGTTTGCCTACTTGAGAAACAACTGGATAAATGCTAAAATGAAATCCACACGAAGCAGTCTTTGACCCTTGGTAGTTAAACTGAAAATGATAACATAAGCAAGGTGTGGATGTCCTTGAAACTACCTGTGGGCAAGGTCATCAATGCTGTGGTGGAAATACTTGCAGACAGTGACACAGTGAGCCAACAATGATGCCTCCAGTTTAGTTTCCTGCAGCAGTGATGTGGCCACCATCTCCAAGGCATCATCAGGCCATGCAGTAAACCTGAACAAGAAAAGGTCATAATCTTGTGACTCTACAGAATTATACTGGCATTTGCCATTTAACAGAACTGCATTCTACAGAGTTTTGAAGTTATGGAACTCAAAAACAGAGGATATTAGTCACTAACGATCTACTGTCTTCCTAATAGGAAACGAGCTGTGGTTGCCATACTGACCAGAACGTATAAAAAATTGTCCCAAACACAATATCTGAGAGAGAAACAAAATAAAAGTCACTCGATTTCCTCACCGTGCTAAGATGTATAAATACCCTATATAAAATCCTCGTGGCACTTAGTATTTCAGCTATTACAACAAAAATTTTAGCGGTGCTTTCATTGTGCATATTTACACCCGATTCGCCAGGCAAGACGACGACGGTAGCAATGCGTGTGATGGAGGGTGTGGGAGGGGGTTTTGAGAATTGCAATTAAATGCCAGGTAGCGACGTGTCCTCGAAACACATCGACCCCATGGTTAACAATACCTTTTTTTTGGAGGACTGTACATTTCATTCTGCAACCTGGAATTTGTTTGTGTTTTTTGTGTATGTTTTTTGTATATGTGTTTCCATTGTTTTCCTAAGCTTGGCCAGAGGACATTAAGTGCTAGAGGCAGCAGTGGCATTAAGAGAAACAGGAAGGCAATTAATCTGATGTGAAATTACATGACAAGCATTATGTTTCTTGCTGGTAACTGTACTACAGTATTATTTCTATTTATGATTTTATTTGAGAAGCAGGTATTTATTATACTATTTTAGTGCATATTTACTTGATACATATAGTAGTACTGTATTATATTTTGGGGGGTAAAAATTTTCCCTTTAAGAAGGCAAAATTTTCTTTGGAAACACATTGCCAATTATTATTACAGTATTGTTATTAATGAAATTATTATCATTATTATTATTAGCATTATTATGACAGTATTACTGTACATTATCATTATAATTCTTACTAATCTTATTGTTACTGTATTACTATTATTATAAAGCCCTGCATAAAAAGGATTAGCACTATAGATAATATCAATGAGCTCTCACATAGCACTGAAAGTAAAAACCTGTAAATTTTTTTTTATTAACTTTCTAAAATCCTATAAGAAGAAACCATTATTGTACCACAACAATATTATACAATACACTACCACAACATTACACACTACGTTACCAGGGACACCTGACAATACACAAGTGAGGGACACCTGGCAACACGACATCTTCTAACACATGAAGCAGTAGACCCACCAGGACCTACCAGTCTATAGTGCAGCAGTTAATGAGGGAGGGGAACATCCTGAGCCTGGTCCTGAAGGTGTCACCTATGGGGGACATGGCCACTACCAAGTGCAGGTTGGCCCTCACTCGCTCGTTGAAGTAGCCAAACAGTGTCATAGGTGAGGAGTCCATCTTCTTACCCTTATTGGGATATTAATCTGAGGTTACAATATGTATTATATTGGTTGAGGAGTGTGGTCCACATTATAAATATAAGATGACCCAATGAAACAATTATCAGATGAAAGTAGGATACTATTTCTTGTTGGGATATAAAAATTTTGTATCAATTGAAGATAACTGAAGATTAGTCTTCCCAGCATATTTTACTACAGTAGGTTAGGTTAAGTTAGTGTTAGTGTTTAAACATCAGATGAAATAAGCTGAGATGCTTAATCTTCCTGTGGTCCCAAAATTTTCAATGTTTAGCTGGACCTAACTCTAATAAACAAGATAAATACTGTATAGTGAAAATACTGTACAGTACCGTACATTTATAAACTTTATCTGAATTTCTAAGTTATGTACGTAGCGCTCAAGAACAATAAAGTGATTTATCTACATGAATGAGTAAATAGTGCATAACACTTATTCAAAAAGTATACATATCCTAAATATAATACAACACAGCAACATGTACAGTATATGGTCAACAAGTGCATTACAGGAAACAAGTAATAACACAACTAAATTACTATTATGAGCAGCCCACCATGGTATCAATTCCAGTTCTGTATTCCCAAAGCTTATATGGGAACATCCACCTCTACGTATATTTGTGATCTTACTTCACGAGTTTAGTGATAAGGCTCTAGCACTCAAGTTGACGCGCACATGTTCCCTGACTCCATTAGTGAAGGAGCCATAATAACAGAATCTTGATCTTCCAAACCCAGCCAGGGCAAGGATTCTCAAAGCTTTAGGCTTTGTACATTAAATTGTTTCTCATAAATGGAGATAAAGCAAGGTTTCAAATAAGCAGACATAAGAAAGAGCATACATATAATGTTCAAAATGGGTTCCAAATTATACTGAGCGTCTACCTACACTGGTACTTTATTTTATCACCAATTAGAGGTCAAAGTTAACATGAATTCTGACCCAGTATTGTCAACATATTGTAGTAAATGTTAACATGAATTCTGACCCAGTATTGTCAACATATTGTAGTAAATGTTAACATGAATTCTGACCCAGTATTGTCAACATATTGTAGTAAATGTTACATGAATTCTGACCCAGTATTGTCAACATATTGTAGTAAATGTTAACATGAATTCTGACCCAGTATTGTCAACATATAGTAAATGTAACATGAATTCTGACCCAGTATTGTCAACATATTGTAGTAAATGTTAACATGAATTCTGACCCAGTATTGTCAACATATTGTAGTAAATGTTAACATGAATTCTGACCCAGTATTGTCAACATATTGTAGTAAATGTTAACATGAATTCTGACCCAGTATTGTCAACATATTGTAGTAAATGTTAACATGAATTCTGACCCAGTATTGTCAACATATTGTAGTAAATGTTAACATGAATTCTGACCCAGTATTGTCAACATATTGTAGTAAATGTTAACATGAATTCTGACCCAGTATTGTCAACATGAATTCTGACCCAGTATTGTCAACATATTGTAGTAAACATGAATTCTGACCCAGTATTGTCAACATATTGTAGTAAATGTTAACATGAATTCTGACCCAGTATTGTCAACATATTGTAGTAAATGTTAACATGAATTCTGACCCAGTATTGTCAACATATTGTAGTAAATGTTAACATGAATTCTGACCCAGTATTGTCAACATATTGTAGTAAATGTTAACATGAATTCTGACCCAGTATTGTCAACATATTGTAGTAAATGTTAACATGAATTCTGACCCAGTATTGTCAACATATTGTAGTAAATGTTAACATGAATTCTGACCAGTATTGTCAACATATTGTAGTAAATGTTAACATGAATTCTGACCAGTATTGTCAACATATTGTAGTAAATGTTAACATGAATTCTGACCCAGTATTGTCAACATATTGTAGTAAATGTTAACATGATTGTTCTATAAACTATAAACATTGGATGGTATGATCGAAGACTGAAAATAAGTTGTTTACAGGAAAAATAAACTTTGAAGCTTCAGTGAATAATGAGGTGCTGTTGTCTAGATGAGCATGTGTGGCAAGGGAGGCCCCCAGCCCTCTTGGGGGGACTGGCTGCTCTCTGCCATGATAACCTACAACTATGCATGAGCCATTATTGAACAAGTTCTTAAACATTAAGACATTGAACAATCTACAACTATGATCAAATAATCAGGAAAATTATTCATCCTCGCCTTAACCTTCAAGTAAGAGGTTGGTTATGTTGTGGCAACTTCCTATTAATGGGTCACATTTCATAGTTTCACCATTGATACAAGTTAACAACAAATTAAGGCTTTTGTGCTTCTTTCCATGACTTATACTCACTATTGTTCTTGATACTTGAACGTGAGACTACAGCATATCAAGTGTAAAAATATTGAGCGACCATTAACGAATAAGTCCGAACTAAACTACTGGGTCAACAGTCTGATGGTCCAGGGTGGCGCCTAGTACACAGCGACACTGCTGTAAAGCTGAAAAGTGTAAGTAATGTGGGCAGATAATAAACCTTCATATGTGCCTAAGATAACACCAAAAAATTTTGAAATTGAACAATATGGTGCTGACAGGGTGATAAATTCCAGGACTCTTGTCTTGGGCATGAGTATGGACATGTATCACCTGTGTGGTGTGTGAGGAGCGTTCACTTTGCTGTCTGATGCAGCT